TCTGATGATAACACCATAGGACATGATACGTGCTACACATTCAGACCACTTTTCTTTCTTTCTTTTCTTTCTTTTTTCTTTCTTTCTTTCTTTCTTTCTCTGATAATAACACCATAGGACATGATACGTGCTACACATTCAGACCATTCAGACCACTTTCTTTCTTTCTTTCTTTCTTTTTCTTTCTTTCTTTCTTTCTTTCTCTGATGATAACACCATAGGACATGATACGTGCTACACATTCAGACCACTTCTTTCTTTCTTTCTTTCTTTCTTTCTTTCTTTCTTTCTTTCTTTCTCTGATGATAACACCATAGGACATGATACGTGCTACACATTCAGACCACTTCTTTCTTTCTTTCTTTTCTTTTTTCTTTCTTTCTTTCTTTCTTTCTTTCTTTCTTTCTGATGATAACACCATAGGACATGATGCTACACATTCGGACACATTCTTTCCTTTCTTTCTTCTTTCTTTCTTTTCTTTCCACTTTTTTCTTTCTTTCTTTCTTTCTTTCTTTCTTTCTTTCTTTCTCTGATGATAACACCATAGGACATGATACGTGCTACACATTCAGACCACTTCTTTCTTTCTTTCTTTTTTCTTTCTTTCTTTCTTTCTTTCTTTCTTTCTTTCTGATGATAACACCATAGGACATGATACGTGCTACACATTCAGACCACTTTCTTTCTTTCTTTCTTTCTTTTCTTTCTTTCTTTCTCTGATGATAACACCATAGGACATGATACGTGCTACACATTCAGACCACTTCTTTCTTTTTCTTTCTTTCTTTCTTTCTTTCTTTCTTTCTTTCTTTTCTTTCTTTCTTTCTTTCTTTCTTTCTTTCTTTCTTTAGGACTTTCTTTCTCTGTGATACACATTCAGACCTACACATTCAGACCTTTCTTTTCTTTCTTTCTTTTTTCTTTTCTTTCTTTCTTTCTTTCTTTCTTTCTCTCTGATGATAACACCATAGGACATGATACGTGCTACACATTCAGACCACTTCTTTCTTTCTTTCTTTCTTTCTTTTTTCTTTCTTTCTTTCTTTCTTTCTGATGATAACACCATAGGACATGATACATTCAGACCACTTCTTTTCTTTTTTCTTTCTTACACATTCTTTTCTTTCTTTCTTTCTTTCTTTCTTTTTCTTTCTCTGATGATAACACCATAGGACATGATACGTGCTACACATTCAGACCTTTCTTTTCTTTCTTTCTTTCTTTCTTTCTTTCTTTCTTTCTCTTTAACACCTTTCTTTCTTTCTTTCTTTTCTTTCTTTCTTTCTTTCTTTCTCTGATGATAACACCATAGGACATGATACGTGCTACACATTCAGACCACTTCTTTCTTTCTTTCTTTCTTTCTTTCTTTCTTTCTTTCTTTCTTTCTTTCTCTGATGATAACACCATAGGACATGATACGTGCTACACATTCAGACCACTTCTTTCTTTCTTTCTTTCTTTCTTTCTTTCTTTCTTTCTTTCTTTCTTTTCTCTTTCTCTGTATAACACCATAGGACATGATACGTGCTACACATTCAGACCACTTCTTTTCTTTCTTTCTTTCTTTCTTTTCTTTCTTTAACACCATAGGACATTTCTTTCTTTCTTTCTTTTCTTTCTTTCTTTCTTTCTTTCTTTCTTTTCTTTCTTTAGGACTTTCTTTCTTTTTCTTTCTTTCTTTCTTTCTTTCTTTCTTTCTTTCTTTCTTTCTCTGATGATAACACCATAGGACATGATACGTGCTACACATTCAGACCACTTCTTTCTTTCTTTCTTTCTTTCTTTCTTTCTTTCTCTGATGATAACACCATAGGACATGATACGTGCTACACATTCAGACCACTTCTTTCTTTCTTTCTTTCTTTCTTTCTTTTTCTTTCTTTTCTGATCTGATAACACCATAGGACATGATACGTGCTACACATTCAGACCACTTCTTTCTTTCTTTCTTTCTTTCTTTCTTTCTTTCTTTCTTTCTTTCTCTGATGATAACACCATAGGACATGATACGTGCTACACATTCAGACCACTTCTTTCTTTCTTTCTTTCTTTTCTTTCTTTCTTTCTTTCTTTCTTTCTTTCTTTTTCTTTTCTTTTCTTTCTGATGATAACACCATAGGACATGATACGTGCTACACATTCAGACCACTTCTTTCTTTCTTTCTTTCTTTTTCTTTCTTTTCTTTCTTTCTTTCTTTCTTTCTCTGATGATAACACCATAGGACATGATACGTGCTACACTTTCAGACCACTTCTTTTCTTTCTTTCTTTCTTTCTTTCTTTCTTTCTTTCTTTCTTTTCTTTTTCTCTGATGATAACACCATAGGACATGATACGTGCTACACATTCAGACCACTTCTTTCTTTCTTTTTTTTTCTTTCTTTCTTTCTTTCTTTCTTTCTTTCTCTGATGATAACACCATAGGACATGATACGTGCTACACATTCAGACCACTTCTTTCTTTTTTCTTTCTTTTCTTTCTTTTCTTTCTTTCTTTCTTTCTCTGATGTGTACGTAACACCATAGGACATGATACGTGCTACACATTCAGACCACTTCTTTCTTTCTTTCTTTCTTTCTTTCTTTTTCTTTCTTTCTTTCTTTCTTTCTCTGATGATAACACCATAGGACATGATATTGCTACACATTCAGACCACTTCTTTCTTTCTTGCTCTTCTTTCTTTCTTTCTTTCTTTCTTTCTCTGATGATAACACCATAGGACATGATACGTGCTACACATTCAGACTTCTTTTCTTTTCTTTCTTTCTTTCTTTCTTTCTTTCTTTCTTTTTTCTTTCTCTGATGATAACACCATAGGACATGATACGTGCTACACATTCAGACCACTTCTTTCTTTCTTTTCTTTCTTTTTTCTTTCTTTTTTTTTCTTTCTTTCTTTCTCTGATGATAACACCATAGGACATGATACGTGCTACACATTCAGACCACTTCTTTTCTTTCTTTCTTTCTTTCTTTCTTTTTTTTTTCATGATTTTTCTTTCTTTCTTTCTTTCTTTCTTTCTTTCTTTCTTTCTCTGATGATAACACAAAAGGACATGATACGTGCTACACATTCAGACCACTTCTTTCTTTCTTTCTTTCTTTCTTTCTTTCTTTCTTTCTTTCTCTGATGATAACACCATAGGACATGATACGTGCTACACATTCAGACCACTTCTTTCTTTCTTTCTTTTTTTCTTTCTTTCTTTCTTTCTTTCTTTCTTTCTTTCTCTGATGATAACACCATAGGACATTTTCTTTCGTGCTACACATTCAGACCACTTCTTTCTTTCTTTCTTTCTTTCTTTCTTTCTTTCTTTCTTTCTTTCTTTCTCTGATAATAACACCATAGGACATGATACGTGCTACACATTCAGACCACTTTGATTTTTTCTTTCTTTTCTTTCTTTCTTTCTTTTCTTTCTTTCTTTCTTTCTTTCTCTGATGATAACACCATAGGACATGATACGTGCTACACATTCAGACCACTTCTTTTTTTTTTTCTTTCTTTCTTTCTTTCTTTTTTTCTTTCTTTCTCTGATAATAACACCATAGGACATGATACGTGCTACACATTCACCACCACTTTCTTTTTTTTCTTTCTTTCTTTCTTTTCTTTCTTTCTTTCTCTGATGATAACACCATAGGACATGATCCGTGCTACACATTCAGACCACTTCTTTTCTTTCTTTCTTTCTTTCTTTCTTTTTTTCTTTCTTTCTCTGATGATAACACCATAGGACATGATACGTGCTACACATTCAGACCACTTCTTTCTTTCTTTCTTTCTTTCTTTCTTTCTTTCTCTTCTATGATAACACCATAGGACATGATACGTGCTACACATTCAGACCACTTCTTTCTTTCTTTCTTTCTTTCTTTCTTTCTTTCTTTCTTTCTTTCTTTCTTTCTTTCTCTGAGTGATAACACCATAGGACATGATACGTGCTACATTCAGACCACTTCTTTCTTTTTTCTTTCTTTCTTTCTTTCTTTCTTTCTTTCTTTCTCTGATGATAACACCATAGGACATGATCCGTGCTACACATTCAGACCACTTCTTTCTTTCTTTATTTCTTTCTTTTTTCTTTCTTTCTCTGATGATAACACCATAGGACATGATACGTGCTACATTCAGACCACTTCTTTCTTTCTTTTCTTTCTTTCTTTCTTTCTTTCTTTCTTTCTTTCTCTGATGTAATAACACCATAGGACATGATACGTGCTACACATTCAGACCACTTCTTTCTTTTTTCTTTCTTTTCTTTCTTTCTTTCTTTCTTTCTTTCTTTCTTTCTCTGATGATAACACAAAAGGACATGATACGTGCTACACATTCAGACCATTTCTTTCTTTCTTTCTTTCTTTCTTTCTTTCTTTCTTTCTCTGATGATAACACCATAGGACATGATACGTGCTACACATTCAGACCACTTCTTTCTTTCTTTTTTCTTCTTTCTTTCTTTCTTTTCTTTCTTTCTCTGATGATAACACCATAGGACATGATACGTGCTACTACCACATTTCTTTCTTTCTTTCTTCTTTCTTTCTTTCTTTCTTTCTTTCTTTCTCTGATGATAACACCATAGGACATGATACGTGCTACATTTCAGACCACTTTCTTTTCTTTCTTTCTTTCTTTCTTTCTTTCTTTCTTTCTCTTTGATATAACACCATAGGACATGATCCGTGCTACACATTCAGACCACTTCTTTTTTCTTTTCTTTCTTTCTTTTCTTTTCTTTCTTTTTCTTTCTTTCTTTCTCTGATGATGATAACACCATAGGACATGATACGTGCTACACATTCAGACCACTTCTTTCTTTCTTTTCTTTCTTTCTTTCTTTTTCTTTCTTTCTTTCTCTGATGATAACACCATAGGACATGATACGTGCTACACATTCAGACCACTTCTTTCTTTCTTTCTTTCTTTCTCTGATGATAACACCATAGGACATGATACGTGCTACACATTCAGACCACTTCTTTCTTTCTTTCTTTCTTTCTTTCTTTCTTTCTTTCTTTTTTTTCTGATGATAATGATAACACCATAGGACATGATACGTGCTACACATTCAGACCACTTTCTTTCTTTTTTTTTTTTCTTTCTTTCTTTCTTTCTTTCTTTCTTTCTCTGATGATCTTTCTTTTAGGACATAATCTTTCGTGCTAACACCATAGGACATGATTCTTTCATTCAGACCACTTCTTTCTTTCTTTCTTTCTTTCTTTCTTTCTTTCTTTTCTTTCTCTGATGATAACACCATGGGAGGACATGATACGTGCTACACATTCTTTCTTTCTTTCTTTCTTTCTTTCTTTCTTTCTTTCTTTCTTTCTTTCTTTCTTTCTCTGGTGATAACACCATAGGACATGATCCGTGCTACACATTCAGACCCACTTTTTTTCTTTCTTTTCTCTTTCTTTCATTCAGACCACTTCTTTCTTTCTTTCTTTCTTTCTTTCTCTGATGATAACACCATAGGACATGATACGTGCTACACATTCAGACCACTTCTTTTTTCTTTCTTTCTTTCTTTCTTTCTTAACACCATAGGACATGATTTTCTTTTCTTTCTTTCTTTCTTTTTCTTTGATGATAACACCATAGGACATGATCCGTGCTACACATTCAGACCACTTCTTTTTTCTTTTTTCTTTCTTTCTTTCTTTCTTTCTCTTTCTGATGATAACACCATAGGACATGATACGTGCTACACATTCAGACCATTCTTTCTTTCTTTCTTTCTTTCTTTCTTTTACACATTTCACTTTTTCTTTCTTTCTTTCTTTCTTTTTTTTCTCTGATGATAACACCATAGGACATGATACGTGCTACACATTCAGACCACTTCTTTCTTTCTTTCTTTCTTTCTTTCTTTTTTTCTTTCTCTGGTGATAACACCATAGGACATGATACGTGCTACACATTCAGACCACTTCTTTTTCTTTCTTTCTTTCTTTCTTTTTTCTTTCTTTCTTTCTTTCTTTCTTTCTTTCTCTGATGATAACACCATAGGACATGATCCGTGCTACACATTCAGACCACTTCATTTTCTTTCTTTCTTTTCTTTTTTCTTTCTTTCTTTCTTTCTTTCTCTGATGATAACACCATAGGACATGATACGTGCTACACATTCAGACCACTTTCTTTCTTTCTTTCTTTTCTTTCTTTTTTCTTTTTCATAGGACATTTCTTTCTTTCTTTCTTTCTTTCTTTCTTTCTTTCTTTCTCTGATGATAACACCATAGGACATGCTGCACATTCAGACACACTTCTTTTTCTTTCTTTCTTTTTTCTTTCTTTCTTTCTTTCTTTCTTTCTCTGATGATAACACCATAGGACATGATCCGTGCTACACATTCAGACCACTTTCTTTCTTTCTTTCTTTCTTTTCTTTCTTTCTTTCTTTCTTTCTTTCTTTCTTTCTCTGATAACACCATAGGACATGATACGTGCTACACATTCAGACCACTTCTTTCTTTCTTTTTTTTTCTTTTTTTTCTTTCTTTCTTTCTTTCTCTGATGATAACACCATAGGACATGATACGTGCTACACATTCAGACCACTTCTTTCTTTCTTTTTTCTTTTCTTTCTTTTCTTTCTTTTCTTTAACACCATAGGACATGATTTACACATTTTCTTTCTCTTCTTTCTCTGATGATAACACCATAGGACATGATTGCTACACATTCAGACCACTTCTTCTTTCTTTCTTTCTTTCTTTCTTTCTTTCTTTCTTTCTTTTCTCTGATGATAACACCATAGGACATGATACGTGCTACACATTCAGACCACTTCTTTCTTTCTTTTCTTTCTTTCTTTCTTTCTTTCTTTCTTTCTTTTTCTTTCTCTTTGATGTCTTAACACCATAGGACATGATACGTGCTACACATTCAACCCTTCTTTCTTTTCTTTCTTTCTTTCTTTCTTTCTTTCTTTCTTTCTTTCTTTCTCTGATGATAACACCATAGGACATGATACGTGCTACACATCAGACCACTTCTTTCTTTCTTTCTTTCTTTCTTTCTTTCTTTCTTTCTTTCTGATTTTTAGGACATGATACGTGCTACACATTCAGACCACTTCTTTCTTTCTTTCTTTCTTTTCTTTCTTTCTTTCTTTTTCTCTGATGATAACACCATAGGACATGATACGTGCTACACATTTCAGACCACTTCTTTCTTTCTTTCTTTTTTCTTTCTTTCTTTCTTTCTTTCTTTCTCTCTGTAGTAACACCATAGGACATGATACGTGCTACACATTCAGACCTTTCTTTCTTTCTTTCTTTCTCTTTCTTTCTTTCTTTCTTTTCTCTGGTAATAACACCATAGGACATGATACGTGCTACACATTCAGACCACTTCTTTTTTCTTTCTTTCTTTCTTTCTTTCTTTTTTTCTTTCTTTCTTTCTCCATACATAACACTTCTTTCTTTCTTTCTTTCTTTTCTTTCTTTCTTTCTTAACACCATAAAAGACATGATGCTACAGACCATTCTTTCTTTCTTTCTTTCTTTCTTTCTTTCTTTCTCTTAATAACACCATAGGACATGATACGTACTACACATTCAGACCACTTCTTTCTTTCTTTCTTTCTTTCTTTCTTTTCTTTCTTTCTTTCTAATGATAACACCATAGGACATGATACGTGCTACACATTCAGACCACTTCTTTCTTTCTTTCTTTCTTTCTTTCTTTCTTTCTTTCTCTGATGATAACACCATAGGACATGATACGTGCTACACATTCAGACCACTTCTTTCTTTCTTTCTTTTCTTTCTCTGATGATAACACCATAGGACATGATACGTGCTACACATTCAGACCACTTCTTTCTTTGCAGACCTTTCTTTTCTTTCTTTCTTTCTTTCTTTCTTTCTTTCTTTCTTTTCTTTCTTTCTTTCTTTCTTTCTCTAGTAACACCATAGGACATAATCGTGCTACACATTCAGACCACTTCTTTTTTTTCTTTCTTTCTTTCTTTTCTTTAACACCATAGACGAGACATTTCTTTTCTTTCTTTCTTTCTTTCTTTCTCTTCTTTCTTTAACACCATAGGACATGATCCGTGCTACACATTCAGACCACTTCTTTCTTTCTTTTCTTTCTTTCTTTCTTTCTTTCTCTTTCTTTTTTCTCTCATGTAATAACACCATTTAGACCACTTCTTTCTACACATTCAGTAACCACTTTTCTTTCTTTCTTTCTTTCTTTCTTTCTTTCTTTCTCTGATGATAACACCATAGGACATGATACGTGCTACACATTCAGACCACTTCTTTCTTTCTTTCTTTCTTTCTTTTTCTTTCTTTCTTTCTTTCTTTCTTTCTCTGATAGTAACACCATAGGACATGATACGTGCTACACATTCAGACCACTTTTTTTCTTTCTTTCTTTCTTTCTTTCTTTCTTTCTCTTTAACACCTTTCTTTCTTTCATTTTCTTTCTTTCTTTCTTTCTTTCTTTCTTTCTTTCTTTCTTTCTCGATAACACCATAGGACATGATCCCACGCACATTCTTTTTTTTCTTTCTTTCTTTTCTTTCTTTTTTTCTTTCTTTCTTTCTCTGATGATAACACCATAGGACATAATACGTGCTACACATTCAGACCACTTCTTTCTTTCTTTCTTTCTTTCTTTCTTTCTTTCTAACACCATAGGACATGATCCGTGCTACACATAGACCACTCCTTTGATCCTTTCTGTCTTTCTTTCAACCACTTCTTTTTCTTTCTTTCTTTCTTTTCTTTCTTTCTTTCTTTCTTTCTTTCTTTCTTTCCATAACACCATAGGACTTGATACACATTTCCAGGCCACTTCTTTCTTTCTTTTTTTCTTTCTTTCTTTCTTTTTTCTTTCTTTTCTTTCTGATGATAACACCATAGGACATGATCCGTGCTACACATTTCAGACCACTTCTTTCTTTTTTTTTCTTTCTTTCTTTCTTTCTTTCTTTTCTTTCTTTCTTTCTTTTCTCTGATGATACAACAACATAGGACATGATACGTGCTTACACATTCTTTCTTTCTTTCTTTTTTCTTTTTTCTTTTCTTTTCTTTCTTTTCTTTTTTTCTTTCTTTCTTTCTTTTCTCTGATGATAACACCATAGGACTGTGCTACACATTCAGACCCACTTCTTTTTTCTTTCTTTCTTTTTTCTTTCTTTCTTTCATTTTTCTTTCTTTCTTTCTTCCTCTGATGATAACACCATAGGACATGATCCGTGCTACACATTCAGACCATACTTTCTTTCTTTCTTTCTTTCTTTTCTTTCTTTTTTCTTTCTTTCTTTTTTCTTTCTCTGATGATAACACCATAGGACATGATACGTGCTACACATTCAGACCCACTTCTTTCTTTCTTTCTTTCTTTCTTTCTTTCTTTCTTTCTTTCTTTCTCTGACATAATCCAGGACATGATCCATTCAGAACACTTCTTTCTTTCTTTCTTTCTTTCTTTCTTTCTTTCTTTCTTTCTTTCTTTCTCTGATGTAACACACCATAGGACATAATACGTGCTACACATTCAGCCCACTTCTTTTCTTTCTTTCTTTCTTTCTTTTCTTTATTTTCTTTCTTTTCTCTGATGATAACACCATAGGACATGATGCACTACACATTCTGACCATTCAGACTTTTCTTCTTTTTTTCTTTTCTTTCATGATTTCTTTCTTTCTTTCTTTCTTTCTTTTTCTTTCTTTCTTTCTTTCTTTCTTTCTTTCTCTGATAGTAACACCATAGGACATAATCCGTACTTCACATTTCAGCCCACTTCTTTCTTTCTTTTCTTTCTTTCTTTCTTTCTTTTCTTTCTTTCTTTTCTAGTAATGTAACACCGGGACATGATCCGTGCTACACATTCAGACCACTTCTTTCTTTCTTTCTTTCTTTCTTTCTTTCTTTCTTTCTTTTCTTTCTTTTCTCAGTAATAACACCATCAGACCACTTTTCTTTTTCTTTGACCTTTCTTTCTTTCTTTTCTTTCTTTCTCTGGTATTAACACCATAGGACGCAGTCCGTGCAACACATTCAGACCACTTCTTTCTTTCTTTCTTTTTCTCTTTCTTTCTTTCTTTCTCTGATGATAACACCATTGGACATGATTGCTACACATTCAGACCACTTCTTTCTTTCTTTCTTTCTTTCTTTCTCTGATAACACCATTCATACACGCTACTTTAACTTTTCTTTCTTTCTTTCTTTCTTTCTTTCTTTCTTTCTCTGAGATTCTTTCTTCTTGATCTTTACTTACACATTCAGACCACTTCTTTTCTTTCTTTCTTTCTTTCTTTCTTTCTTTCACTTTTTCTTTCTCTTGATAACACCAGTAGGACCTGCTTTCTTTAAAACTTTTCTTTCTTTTTTCTTTCTTTCTTTCTTTCTTTCTTTTCTTTCTTTCTTTCTTTCTTAACACCATAGGACTTTCTATTATACCTTTAGACCCTTTTTTCTTTCTTTCTTTCTTTCTTTTCTTTCTTTCTTTCTTTTTTCTTTCTTCAGTGCCTGCTTTGCTACATTCAAATTTTTTTCTTTCTTTTCTTTTCTTTCTTTCTTTCTTTCTTTCTTTCTTTCTAACTTTTCTGACCTTCTTTCTACATACATTAACTTCTTTCTTTCTTTTCTTTCTTTCTTTCTTTCTTTCTTTCTTTTCTTTCTACTTTTCTTTCTTTCTCAGTAAACACTATTTTTCTTTCAGACCCTTTCTTTCTTTCTTTCTTTCTTTCTTTTCTTTCTTCAGTGCCTGCTTTCTTCATACTCTTTTCTTTCTTTCTTTCTTTGTTTCTTTCTTTTCTTTCTTTCTTTCTTTCTCAGTCCTTTCTTTGCACACCCTTTCTTTCTTTCTTTTCTTTCTTTCTCTCAGTGCCTGCTTTCTACCACACCCTTTAACTTCTTTTCTTTCTTTCTTTCTTCCTTTCTTTCTTTCTTTCTTTCTTTCTTTCTTTAGTGCCTAATCCGTACTACACCTTTAACACTTTTCTTTCTTTTCTTTCTTTCTTTCTTTCTTTCTTTCTCTGAGTACCCTAGGACATGATCCATTCTACATACCCTTCTTTCCTCTTTCTTTCTTTTCTTTAACACCATTTCTTTCTTCTTCTTTCTTTCCTTTCTATGATTTCTACATGCTACACATTAGCACTTTTCTTTCTTTTCTTTCTTTCTTTTATTTCTTTCTTTCTTTCTTCAGTGCCTAGGACATGATAAATGCTACACACATTCAGACCTTTTTTCTTTCTTTCTTTCTTTTCTTTTCTTTTCTTTCTTTCTTTTCTTCAGTTCTTTCTTTGGTAGTCATAGAGACATAGTCATGCTAACACAGACAACTTTCTTTCTTTCTTTTTTCTTTTTCTACATTTCTTTTCTTTCTTTTCTTTTTCTTTTCTTTCTTTCTTTCTTCTGATCCCATTCTCTCACCTACATTCAGACCACTTCTTTATTTCTTTCTTTCTTTCTCTTATTCACACCCTGCTTTCGTACATACCTTCAGACCACTTTTTCTTTCTTTCTTTTCTTTATTTCTTTCTTTTTTCTTTCTTTCTTTCTTCATAACGCCTTCTTTCTACATACCCTTTGTCTTTCTTTTCTTTTCTTTCTTTCTTTTCTTTCATGATTTTTTCTTTCTTTCTTTCTTTCTTTCTTTCTTCAGTGCCTGCTTTCTACATACCCTTTAACACTTTTTCTTTCTTTCTTTCTTTCTTTCTTTCTTTCTTTCTTCAGTGCCTGCTTTCTACATACACTTTAACACTTTTTCTTTCTTTCTTTCTTTCTTTCTTTCTTTCTTTCTTTCTTCAGATAACACTTTCTAACCTTTACACATTTTTCTTTTCTTTCTTTCTTTTAACACTTTTTCTTTCTTTTCTTTCTTTTCTTTCTTTCTTTCTTTCTTTCTTTCTTTCTTTCTTCAGTGCCTGCTTTCTACATACCCTTTAACACTTTTTCTTTCTTTCTTTCTTTCTTTTTCTTTCTTTCTTTCTTTCTTTCTTCAGTGCCTGCTTTCTACATACCCTTTAACACTTTTCTTTCTTTCTTTCTTTCTTTCTTTCTTTCTTTCTTCAGGGCCTGCTTTCTACATACCCTTTAATACTTTTTCTTTCTTTCTTTCTTTCTTTCTTTCTTTCTTTCTTCAGTTCTTTCTTACCCTTTCTTTTTCTTCTTTCTTTTCTTTCTTCTTTCTTACATACCCTTTAACACTTTTCTTTCTTTTTTCTTTCTTTCTTTCTTTTCTTCAGTGCCTGCTTTCTACATACCCTTAACCTCTCTTTCTTTCTTTCTTTTCTTTCTACATACCCTGCTTTTTACCTTTCCTTTCTTTCTTTCTTTTCTTTCTTTCTTTCTTTTCTTTCTTTCTTTCTTTCTTTCTTTCTTCTTTCTTTCTTCCTTCTTTCTACATACCCTTTAACACTTTTCTTTCTTTCTTTCTTTTCTTTCTTTCTTTCTTTTTCTTTTGCTTTTCTTTCTTTCTTTCTTTCTTTCTTTCTTTTCTTTTTCCACATACTTCTTTTCTACATACCCTTTTTTCTTTTTTCTTTCTTTCTTTCTTTCTTTCTTTCTTTCTTTCTTTCTTTCTTTCTTTCTTCAGTGCCTGCTTTCTACATACCCTTTAACACTTTTTTTTCTTTCTTTTTTCTTTCTTTCTTTCTTTCTTTCTTTCTTTCTTCAGTGCCTGCTTTCTACATACCCTTTAACACTTTTTCTTTCTTTTTTTTCTTAAATTTCTTTCTTTCTTTTTAGTGCCTGCTTCTACAAACCTTTAACCTTTTCTTTATTTCTTTTTTCTTTTTTCTTTATTTTCGGTTCTTCTCTCTTTTTTTTTTATTTTCTCTTTTTCTTTTTCTTTCTTTCTCTTTTTGAGAAATAGATAATCTGTGTTCTTTGGAAAAAAACCTTAATTCTGTTCTCTTTCTTTCCTTTTTCTTTCTTTCTTTTCATAGATATGAATCCCTTCTATAATATATTAATTCGAGCTATAAATAATTTCTAGTTGTGCTTATAAAATTTATTCGACCTGTCAACAAATCCAATCTACAATCTATCTATCTATCAATGATCTATCCCCATTATTTGCAATGTCTGTTCAGTCATCAGGCAGCTCTTCTACCTTTCTATCTATCTATCCCCAGGTTATGATGGCAAAAATCAATCTCTGGTTTTCATTATAGATAGTTTTTCAAATTGCTTTGCAGTTAATCGATAAAGATAACAATTGGCTTTGATCAAAGGTCATTAAAAGATGGCGTGGCTTTTAGAACAGACCAAGTGGTGTTCAATATTATGAATCCATTCTTGTATCCGGAATTGCGTTCTCATACAAGGGAACAACATTTTCCCAAGAGACGAGCACGTGGGGATGGGAATGCTTATCGGCCAAACGCTTATGGACTCAGTGCAGCTTTTGGATATATAACTGTACATTTAGTGTTTTTCGCGAAATCCCTTGACCCATCAAGTTCATAGGGGGTGGGGACACTACATGTACTATAGTAGAAGTGGTGTCTCTTGGACAAGATAGCCAGATAGAACACATGCCGGTTTTGAATTCAGAGTTACATTCTCCTAGAAATCTGCATAAAACCCATTCCGTGGAACGGCTATTTATCCATAGCTGGGGGCAGTGAAGAGGTTTCCTTGAAAAGGGTAAGAAAAAATAAGTGAATGTAATGTATCCGACAATTAATTTTCACTCGGTCTTCGTTATATATATCCGAATCGCTATCCATCGTGTCTCGTTATAGTGGTATCGCGAATCGCATTGAGCACTGAATATGCTCCAGTAACCAAAAATGGTGTTTCCTGTGCAAGGTAGCCAATGGCGTGAACCAAATATAATTAAATTCAGGTTACCTTGTTGCGAAATAGAAAAATCAGAAAATGTTGAAAAGAAAAATCACCTACCTCGAAAAATAGTTCTTGTTTTGTGCGTGGTTTGCCGAAGAAAATAGTTAACAAAAACTCTGCCACTTTAATTATCAGAGAAACTGTTATATTCCGTGCTAATAGAAATATGGAATAAATAAACAAGTTGGATAAATAGTAACAGGATCATTGTAGAAACCAGTACAACAAACAAGGAAGTAATAGTTATGCGCGCGGTCGTCGCAAGTCAGTACAGTTATGTGTGTGCTGCTGTCGGAAGGCCGCTAGTCTCGTAGATCCCATCTCGACGCTATTTAGCAACTACCCCACGCAGTCACATGTGGCACAGGGCCGAATTTAATGTGGGGCTTCCGGCCAAAAAATCCCCGTGGAACCCGCATAAACGGGATCGGGTCTGTCTACCTCCCCGGACGAAACTCTAGTTGCGTCCGGATTGCTCTCTGCCCGAAGACAGAGAGTTCGACTAGCGCAGCTGGGAAATATCTCGACGATATTTAACAGTCCCTCCCACGAGAAATGTATGTGGCACAAGGCTGAGTTTAACGTGGGTTTCTTCGAGCCCGTAGGCTCGGCCAAAAATATTTCCTTTGAACCCGCAATAGCGGGTTAGGACTATCTGCCTCCCGGACGATACTTTGACCTTCGGCAAAGCTTCGTCCAATTTTGATTCCAAAGCAGGGGAGTTCGACAGAAGTCGCAAACAGTCAGAGACTGCTCAACGACTCTTAAATATCCCAGCTCGACGCTATTTAGTAACTGACCCACGCAGTCACGTGTGGCACAAGGCCGAATTTAAAGTGGGGTTCCCGAGCTCGTAGGCCCGGCCAAAAAATCCACGTGGACCCCGCATAAACGGGATCGGGTCTGTCTACTTCCCCGGACGAAACTCCTTCGGCATAGTCTCGTCCGGGTTGCTCTCTGCCCGAAGGCAGAGAGTTCGACTTGCGCAGCTGGGAGAGATCCCAGCTCGATTCTGCTGTCCGCTGTCCTAACAGATACTTATAGGCGGTTACCACCTATAGTGTCGCCACTCATGGGCGTGGTGGCAGGTTATTCCATCACATCAGAAACTATACTAATGTTCTTCCTTCCCTGAATGACGTGGCCAATCAGAAAAATCGCTCGGTGAATAAAAACCGATATGTTAGCTTGGTGGGCGAAATGGCGTACTAGTAGCAAAATTTGTGCTCCATAGAGGAGAGGTTGATGCATTTGATGGGACCTTCGGGGTATTATTCATTTAGAATTCAATGAAACATTAAGATCGCACGGATAGCAGCTCGGGTCGAGGAATCAGAGAGCCGAGTTCGAATTCCAGTTTGATCCATTACATTCACTTACGTACTAATACCCTTGGGGAAGGTATGAATCCTCTTCTTCTCCCTCCAGCTATGCATAAAAAGCGGGACAGACTGGAAATAAGAGAAGTGTAACAAAAAATGCTTTAAAATTATTGTAGCAATTAATGCCTGCAACCGGTTTCCTCTGTCGCTCACGTCCGCGACACTTGTAGTCAATTCAATACAGCTGTTTGGTTATCAACCAATGGGGTCAGAACCCCCGCCAAAAAAAAAAAAAAAGAAAAAAAAGAAAAAAAGAACCCGCGTGTCAACACAAAGTTCAATCGAAAATCTGTCGTAACAGTCCAGCAGACAACGTAGCAATGAAAAACGGGGTCAGAAATCCAACTTTCACTTTCACTTTCACTTCGCAACAACAGAAACGCCACTTCGCCCACTAAGCTCACATATCGGCTTTTATTCACCAAACGATTTTTCTGATTGGCCAATATCATTCAGGGAAGAAAGAACATAAGCATAGTTTCTGATGTGATATTCAATTACGATTTGACGAGGCTATTTAATAACATGACTAGCATTTAGGATATTTCGGTTTTATAGCAGCTTAGTGTGTTGGACCAAAATGACCCCAGCGCATCCTATTTTATATTCAATTACTTTATCACCTACACTAAATTCCTGTCTATATATTCTGAGATGAAGTATTGTAATTAATTACCTTATTTATATTGTTCAAAAACGTCGTGAATATGGCAATAAAGGTAAGAACAACAGTCCAAACAATGTAAATAATCTAAATAATTACAATACCTCATCTCAGAAATGTATAAAGACCCTGAAGAAGGCCGGAGCTTACAACGGCCGAAACGTCGTGAATATGGCCCTAAAAGTAAGAACAACAGTCCAAACAATGTAAATTATGTAAATAATTACAATACCTCACCTCAGAAATATAGAAATATCCCTAAGAGGGCTGGAGCGTACAACGGCCGAAACGTGGTGAATATGGCAATAAAGATAAGGACAACAGTCCGGACAATGTAAATAATGTAAATAATTACAATAACTCATCTCAGAAATGTAGAAAGATCCTGAAGAAGGCCAGAGCTTACAACGGCCGAAACGTCGTTAATATGGTAATAAAGGTAAGAACAACAGCCCAAACAATGTAAATAATATAAATAATTACAATAACTCATCTCAGAAATGTAGAAAGATCCTGAAGAAGGCCGGAGCGTACAACGGCCGAAACGTCGTGAATATGGCAATAAAGATAAGGACAACATTCCGAACAATGTAAATAATGTAAATAATTACAATACCTTACCGCAGAAATATAAAAATATCCGGAAGAAAGCCGGGGCGTACAACGGCCGAAACGTCGTGAATATGAAAATAAAGATTAGGGCAACACTCCAAACAATGTAAATAACAAATATACTATACTAATTTTGTTATAACAGTTCAATACACTAAGGTATATGTACTAAGTTTATCTCAAAATTTATTAACTGTCATATATTATTAGTAGTTAGGACTCAAGATAAACCTTTCCGAAAACTATGATCTGGAATTGAAATAAAAACAATGGTAGCGTCTACACTGAATCCATCATAAAAATTCAGGGTGTAGAATTAGTAAATACTAAACGCTTCAAATGCCCCGGTGGATGGACCAACAAATTTAGTATAGGAGAAAGCGAAACTGAACATAGAACAGACTGCGTCAGAGGTAGTTTCAAAGTAAATTACTGTAAAACTAAAACAGCAAACTAAAAACACGAGTCGTGTTCTTAAATAGCCTCGTCACATCGTGACTTCAATGTAACCGAGAATTGAAGGTCGTTCTCAACGGATTCTCCTCCAGTTCCTATCCCACTAACGCAGGTGTGCCCCAAGGCTCCATCCTTGGCCCCTCTTTTCCTTATTTTCATCAATGACCTTCCTGAAGCTATAGATTCCCAAGTCGGCATCTATGCAGACGACACTACAATTACTCCTGCCTCAAAAACAAGTCTAGTGTCGGCGACAAACTAACCTTGCCGTGCGTCTTGAAAAATGGACCTCAATCGGTTGTTAACTGGGGCAAGAATTGGCTGGTCAACTTTAACGCCACAAAAACTAAATTACTCTCCATTAACCACCATAGAGATCCTTCCCTGCCCTGCATTAAAATGTCTGATAGTCAACTTCCTGAGAGCAACTCCTGCGTCTGCTCAGTCTCACGCTGACTGCTGACCTGAGATGGAACAAATACATTGAGTCAATTGCTTCTTCCACCGCGAGGAAAAAAGTTGGCTCTCTGTGCCACGCCAGGAAATTTTTCTCCCTGAATCGATACTTCAAATATACAAAACAACCATTCGCCCTTGCATGGAGTATTGCTGCCATATGGGCTGGAGCACCTTCTGCTTACCTCGGAGTTCTTGACAAGATCCAGAGAAGGATATGTAATCAAATTGGCCCTGATCTAGCGTCTTGTTTG